GCTGAGCAGGACTTTCATATCAGTGATTAATTCTATAAATACACTAAGTATTACATTTAACCAATGTTCGTTATCTTATATCACCAGAAGACTTTGTATCTCATGTGAAGATGATTAAAAACATTGTGTCTGATACTCTGTTTGTCTTCTTCGTGGATAGGCGACCGTGATATGCCATGCACATATGCAGTGAAACGTGATCTGGTTGAGAGCATCGTCGTCTAATTGGCTGACCATCAGAACAGGAAGAAAACAATATGATGATGTGTTTGAATCTTTCATTCTCTCTGACAGTGTTCATAGAGTCGTACTCCAGGAATCTACCAAAGCTTCTACACCCACATTCTTTTGGTTCCACCTATCCTCCAATATCTACATGACAAACCATGGTATACTATAAGTTGTTCACTGGTCTCGATGGGGACATGTGCTGATGTATCCTCGATGTTTGTTTATGTTCCCTGAGCCTCGATGGGTACATCAACCCATGGGCCTCGAGTGACCAGTGAACAACGTATTTATTTTACCGAACACCTCAATGGTAATTTTGAACTGTTTGAAGCACGGGTATCGGATCACAGTATGGAGTACCAGAGTGAGTGAGTGAGGTAATATTTAACGTCACATCGGCAATAAAGACCTGCCAGCGAAGGACAGTATAACGTCTAGAATATCACAAATCGATTAAAACTAGTTTGAGTTCAGTGTAAAATGTTAAATCATTTTAAAACAACACAATATAAAATCGGGTTATAGAAGGTAGATCACCATACTAGGGCCATGGGGACTTTCAGTACATTTGCTTCCTGCATAGGCCCTAGCTGGATTTACACCATCCCCTCAGCCGCTGGCGATGGAAGGGAAATTTAGCCATAATTTAAAATAGCAAATAGTCTACGTTTAAAAAGCATGGTTGAGCTAAATTGACCTTGAAAGTTTTGGGACTTACGTATCCTCTCAGGAGGACAATAATTGGAGTACCAGACGACAAGGCGACAAGAAAAACAAATTTAGATTTATCTCCTTCCCATCGATTTGCATTCGCAAAACTTCGGTAATTTCCGTATATGATAGGTGATTCAATGTTATTCGAGATAAAGAATTACTACTACGAAGTACCAAATGAGTTCGGCATTCCCAGCAGGGTACATAGAAAATGTTACTCACTTGTAAGAGGGGTACATTGAAAATAACAGAAGAGCGCTCAGCCACTCAGAAACATATGTGTGAGGCTTGATAATGTAAATTACACCTAACACATCGCTGTAATATGAACGATACGTCAGCAAAACAATCAAACTAACACTTGATTATTAGTACTCAGCACATAACGTAGGGCTCGGCCACAGTTTGTATGTATCGTCTGTATTAGTATATTACTTACAAACAAGCACAACTACCAATATATACATGGTAATAAATCATTGTTAATTACAAATTCCTACTGATGAAGAATTGTGATCTGGGGGATATTAGACATGTGTGAGTGGGTAGTACAATGTACATTCAGTAGTAAATCCAATAAAGATTAGCCTGCTTCTTACGAAGGCTGAGATTGTGATATTATATTTTGATTAAGTGGTGCAATCATTTGGTGCTGCTAAAAGTATTGGAAAATAACACAATTTATATCAATTTCGAACAAGAAGCATATTTACACACAATGCAGATGGCACAATATACATTGTTGTAAAATGGAGACAGATGGGACATCAATGTAAAAACAATATTTAATAAATAGAATTGTCCCAATGCTACTTTTTATCAATTTATACATCAATGACTACTGATATAAATAATCAATGCACACAAAGCGAAATTATTTATTAATGTCGAAATATTGTTTGGAATATTGCTTAGTACACCTCTATAGCGAATGGTGTGGAGAACATTTCGAGTACATTAATCGTATGAGGAACAAGGAAAGTTGCTGTTTCTGAATGCTCTTTCTATACACGTGTTCCTCAACAGTGAACAATAGTCCCGAAGAAGCATTTCCACCAAATATTTTTTTCCTGAGTCCTGAGATGAGAATACCGAACGGGTTCTTCAGTAGCTTTAACATTAACTGAGACAGACGACATCTCTTGTTCCGGTGAACGACCTGTCAAGGACATGTCTGATATTTCTATCCTGATGCAGTAGTGTATATAACGGGCTCAACACACACATTTAGTGCAAAGTGGCAGATGACAACTGGTTTGAGATCCATCATGGCGAAATGCTTCTCCTTCTTGCTCCTCTGTGCAATCATTGTCAGGATCAACAGTAGCCCAAAAGGAGCAGCTCCTCCAAATTACATTTTCATAGTGGCTGATGACTTGGGATGGAATGATGTTGGGTTCAGGAACCCAGAGATGAGAACTCCGAACCTGGATCATCTTGCCCATGAAGGTGTCATCCTGAACTCCTCCTACGTCCAACCTGTCTGTTCTCCCTCCAGGAATTGTTTCATGTCCGGTTACTTTCCCTACAGGACTGGACTCCAAGATGGCGTGATTACTGTTGAACAGCCGAAGTTCTTGCCACTTAACTTCACTACACTTCCAGAAGAGCTAAACCAACTTGGATACGTGAGTCATATGGTTGGCAAGTGGCACTTGGGATATTGTAACTGGAACTATACACCAACTTACAGAGGTTTTGAGTCATTCCTCGGGTACTATTCAGGACAAGAAGATTATTACACCCACTATCGTTCCACAGACACGTTCCAGTACAAAGGACTGGATTTCAGAATGGACAAGGTACCCCTAAAGACATGCAGAGATGAATATTCAACTCATGTTTTCGCAGAAAGAGCAATTGACATCATCCGTTCACATAAACAAAACAAACCTTTATTCCTTTACCTTCCGTTCCAGTCTGTGCATGCACCTTTGCAGGTGCCAGGGGAGTATGAAGAAAAGTGTAGTCACATACAAGATGTACAAAGAAGAATTTTTTGTGGAATGGTCAATGCTTTAGATGAAGCGGTTGGCAACATCACGGATGCTTTGGTTGAGACTGGCTTGATGGAGAACCTGCTCATGGTGTTTACTACAGACAATGGTGGCCCAACCTATATTGCGGCGAATAACCTCCCACTACGAGGAGCCAAGACCACTCTGTGGGAAGGTGGTACAAAAGGCACGGCCTTCATTTACAGCAAGAACCTCCTAAAGAAAAAAGGGTACCTGAACACCGAGATGATGCACGCGGTGGACTGGTACCCTACTTTGATTCAGATTGCTGGAGGAGATCTGAGTAAGATTATTGACAGAGATGGAGTTGGTCAGGAAGACATGTTGGTGAATGGAGGTCCTAGCAAAAGAGAAGGTTTTGTGTATAATTTTTACAGTGGAGAAAGGAATGCTTCCGCGATTCGGTATGGTCACCTAAAGTTGATTGAAGGATCCCCTGGAAAATACAACGACTGGACACCTCTGCCGAAGATAGGACAAGAACCAAGCGTAATGGAACAGGATGAGGATTTCCCTCCATATATGCTCTTCAATATCTCCTCCGACCCGACTGAGCACTTTGATCTGTCGGCCAAATACCCTGAACTTGTGGAAGAGATGAAGGTTAAATTGGAAGAATGGAGAAAACGAGGAGTACCAGCTCAAGATCCACCAAATGATCCTAAGTCAAACCCAGCCAACTTTGGTGGAGTATGGAGTCCTGGTTGGTGTAAGTGAGGCGAGTATGGTTGCCTGGTTCATAATGTTGATGTGTTCCACCATGAATCGTGAAAATGCTTGATATTGAATTGTCAGATAGATATTTCCAACCATCATAATCGCGTCTGATTAAAATAGCCGATAATGACTACACGGCCACATCGCCCCTGATGCTAATATGTATACAAACGTACACAAATTAAAACAGTTACTGATCACCTTTAATTATATATGAGTTTAGATTTCAGGTTTTGGGATATCATGGCTTCAAACCTGACGCTTTACATTGGTTTCGTCTTAATGGCGTCAGCAAATGTTACCTTTGCAGGGTTGACATTTTTCTGTGCCCCCCATATCATGGGTAGAGTAGCTGTAATCTACATTTTCAATGCCTGTCATATATACTTTTAAAGGCCGGTATGATCCAACTGGAAAATTGCCTTGTGCAGCGTTAAACAATTCCAGCTATGTCGCTTCATATAACACGAAACCTGAATGTTGTCAAGGTTGAATTGAGATAAACATAATGTATAGCGAGATGTTTATACAAATACAAATTCAGTGACAGGCTGTTAAATCTACAGATAACTTACCTTTACCTTTAAAAAACATTTCGTTTACCTTTCTAAGTGGCTCGCTTTTGTCAAACACCACACGTGAGATATTTAAATTACCTTAGACATAAAAGTATTTGTCACGTTTTCATTAATGACGCTGATCGCATTAATGTCATGGACGAAATAAAATATTGATCAGCTTACCATCATGTCACTTCCTCTGATATAAACATTGTCACCTATTATATGATAACATTGCTGTATCTCCAACTACTCTCTCATTTCATTTCCGGTGGAGTAGCTCAGTGGTTATAGTGTTCACTCGTCACGCCGAAGATGTGGGTTCGATTCCCCACATAGGTACAAAATGTGAGGGCCATTTTAGGTGTCCCACGCCGTGATTTTGCTGGAATATTGCTAAAGTGGCGTAAAACTAAACTCACTCATCTCATTTCTGAATATACATCACACGACGATCCTTGTCATTGACATACTGATACATGGGTCCATCTTACATGCCATCCGATACGTGGGACGGTGAGGTAGCCTAGTAGTTAAAGAGCGGGGTTTGGTTTTGAGCCCGAGTCTTCAGCGTGACTGACTGACTAAGTTTGGTTTTACGCCGCTTTTAGCAACATTCCAGCAACATCACGGCGGGGCACACCAGAAATGGGCTTCACACATTGTGCCCATGTGGGGATTCGAACCCGGGTCTTCGGCGTGACGAGTCAACGCTTTAACCATTAGGCTACCCCACCGCCCCACTCTTCAGCGTGAGGTGCGGACGCTTAAAATATTAGGCTACCCCACCGCCGCTTTATATAAAAATACGTCATACCCAATAGGTGCTGATTCTGAAATTGGATGATGTCAAGATTTGTCCCACTTCACGCTATCCCACTCGCCATCTATACATGGGCCTCCGCTTGCACAGCGCCCCCTACATAGACTATGTACATGCACGCACATCAACCCTACGCCATATCTGACCACTGCACACATGCGACGTTATGCAACAAACACCATAGTCCCTAAAACCCTTGCTATGGTACGCACTAAACCTTAAAGGTCTAAATCGCAGTAATTTAAACCGTGACAACTGTACAAGCATTTGCTTCACACTATTGTCAGTCTAACGCCAAACTGGACTAACTGTGCACGTCAATCCGTTGATCACACCCTGTAGTTATTAAGGCCATTTGACATGACTTCCACTGAAGTGAAGCCTTTCACACAAAGCTGGCTGTTTCCCCTGTAATCATGCTTCTACTTCCTGCTTATACTCATATTTCACAGCGGACATGCTTGCTGTAAATTGCCTGGTCTTATTCACCAAAATATCACATGCATTTCGATGATCAAAACACTGCCTGTTAACAGCTCTAATTTATCTGGTATTAACAGTCAGCGCGTAATGGAAGTGATGCTAAGTTCGTACGTTTTAGTAGTTGTGAAACCGATCTGGCACGAATTGCATCATTCATCAATAGCATGACAAACATCACAACTACAGATGCTGAAGGGTAAATGTTCACTGGACACATATTTATAGGAGCCATTGTGTCGGTCAGCAGTTTGCAGCGATCTGGCAGTATGCACAACAGTAGGTGAGTGCAAGTTGAAATTGTTTCTAAATTTATGCTGCTATGAAAACGTCTAGCACCCTTGTCACTTCATTTGAAACCTCACATATCTCACCATTATCTGATAGTGACTTGTAAACATATACGTTGTTTTGATGAAGTCGGATTCGTATTATCAATTCTGGTAAAATATACAGTTTCTTGTGGCTATGGCCAATGTTTCGTCGCTTTTGATGTTCATCGTTATGGCACATATACTGAACAAAAAAAAAGAAACTTCCAAGCGCTACTTACCCCACACATACCCCTTCAGAACGAAGTGTGTTGCTAGTGGATAAATCTGTTTAGATCTGGCCATTTTAGTATCCGCCCATATAACTACCTAGCACCACCTAATATAAATATAATTCATTTCTCCTAATTTAACGTTTCTGTTCAGTGTACTTGTAATCTTGTCGCTTTTGGTACATGTAACCCAGTGAATATCATTTCACAATTAGCTTATGTCATGGTTCTTTGTCATATGCATCTCCCCGTCAGTTTCCGTCAGCCGCCTTTTCATACTGCATCGAAACGCTACATCTCTAGACAGTACTGATGAGGAGAATACCTCCTTTTTGTTTCATGTAGCCAGAGAGTTGACAAGTATAGACATTCCAGCTACGTCAAGAAAATGTACCAACTATCTTCATGAAATCCTCTCTGAAACAATTGCGCATACTACAGCATCTAACAGTACATAAGGTACAGTATTTCCTCTAATAAGCGGCCCCACGCTTGTTTTTTACAACGGGCTTCCAGACCCGGCGCTTATTAGAGGAAACACGATATTCATGTTCCCGTCATGGCATCTTCAGATTTGCACGCCAATTCAATAAAACAAATCACGGCATGATCATTACTGTATCATTCATGTATGCACATCTGCTGATCATAAGTTCGAGCCCAGGAATCGCCTTGATAACGTGTTACTCTTTGTCATCGTCATTCCCGTTTCACTAAATTGTTAAATGACTGCGAAAGCCTCTAATTTCCACATCAACTTGACATACTGTGATATAACTGAAGCAAATTGCCAGGCAAACTAAAGTATGCACTGGAAAAAAAGATTTGGCCAGAAAATTACAAACCCAAACGTTATTAGACTGAAACCAATTTCGGAAACAATGCAATCGTTAATTATTGTTTGCTTAATTTTCAGCCACAATAAGAACAAGGTAGAACAATGCTTATTATTTGGTGAAGTTTAGATCACTCACCCACTTAACGATAAACCTGTATGTCCCGGACCCTCAAAATGTTCATATAGCTGCACTCTTAACTATAAACCTCGATTTTTCACTGTCTCTAGTCTTCTCTGTATTCCGTTCAGTGAAATTGTCACTACTGTTTCCTTCACAGTTTCAGAAATCGTGTCAACATGATGCCCACAGTCTGGATCCTTTGTATCGCAAGCATTTCAACCTTGGCGTCCACAAGCCGTAAGTGCAACTTCAGGTTTTATACCCAATGCACGCCTAGAGATGCAAGTGCAATGATGTTGGACATTTCTTTAAAACGTAACCACTCGTATGATGCCCGGTGTCGTTAAGCTATATAAATACCATCGAGTGAATATTTGAAACCAAAATCCACACAAAGATATGTGAATACGCTTGCTTGACTTAAAACCTTCCGTACAAGCAAAGATGTATCACTGTGTTCAGCTGAACTATCCCCAGATACTCGGCTCATGCAAGAATAATCATAATCGTTTGTACAGTTAAAGGGCTAAAAGGGGATGAAGGAGTAAGACTATATTCACAAACGTTGTGTTGACATCCATATATTCTCGCCTTCGTGTGTATCACTTCTAAAATGCCGTTCAAAGATAGATAAGTTGTGATCAACATGAAAATATACCTATTTTTTCTTGCATTGTACCATGTAGTTTCCAAGTCAAAACAATACAGATATGACAAGTAACTAATTCTGTTTGTGCATTTTAGGACAAAGATTAGAACCATCCCAGTAGCCAACAATTACAACCCCTTACTTACTAAACTGTTTTAATGCATATGAATCGTATTTCTGGTAGGTTGACGTAGTCAACCAATTATTAATTTCAAGGTACTTTACAGAAAATGTCAGGGTTATGGAAAGAGAAGACATTGTGTTTTGAATGTAGTGTAAAACTTCTTTCAATTACAGGAACTGTGTACTTCTGATCGGTAATTTAATACACAGAGTGTTTGAACTAATTTTAATGTGTGTCCCTCGTGACGCAATATAATATTCTTTACTGCGTCAATTCCATACATTTGTCATTTGTGCGAACATGGCATTTGTTTATTCATTCAAGTCAAAGGCCACAGGCCCATAGGACGTACATTAACGGCATGTGCACATTTTTGTTATGCATCAATATATAAACGATGAATAAATTTCACAAGGTACTACAGTAATAATGCATGATAATAACATTATTGTTGTACCGATGGGTAAAGTTTAAATGCTAAGAATACATACTTACTTAGATTTAGCAATGTTTGAGGACATGAGGAATTGATAAGATTGACAAATGCTGCAACAGAGGGGTGTTCATGGTATGCAGGGTGAATATATGATTTTCGTAAATTTGAAAAAGCTTTGCATACAAGTACATGGCATTTCACCATAGCGTAAAGCACTGTGCACTAGAAGATTCTAGAATAAGCACATTCAGGCACTGTGTTAACCGTAAAATAGTTTTCATGTTTCATGTTTACAAGTGGATATGGCGCTTGCTTTATCTACAAATATGCACCCACAACATATCTACATTTATTCAGACTGAGTGCATTCTTTTCTTCAGTACATTCTCCGCAATCCTATACCACTACTCCACCATATTGCTTAAACGGTGGAAAGTTAAAAGTGAACACGACACTGTGTCAATGCAATAGCGGATTCACTGGAAATCATTGTGAAAGTAAGTACATATGAAGTGTCAGGTAGCAAGATGTTGTATCAGACAAATGTTTGTTTGTTCTTTAACACTGCATTCAGCAATACTCCAGGTAATATTAAATAACCGACACTGGGCCAGACACTCCGGTGATCAACACCATGCGCATCGATCTACACAATTGGTCAGACAAATGGAAGTTTGAAGACACGGTTGAGTGAGTTGGGTTTTACGCCGCTTTAAGCAATATTGCAACAATATTACGGCGAGGGACACCAGAAATGTACCCATGTGGGGAATCGAACCCACATCTTCGGCATGACGAGTGAACGCTTTAACCACTGGGCTACCCTACCGCCTCGGAGTCACGGTTGAGCTTGAAATGACACCTGGTGTTATCGCCGATTTTCACAGATCCTTTCAATTCGTATATTTTCACTAATATTTGGCCTTTTATACCCCTTTATAGCAAAACCTCGTTCACGCAAAATCCACAAAACAAACGAAATCTTATCGGTTTACCCACATTTTGTAACGGAGTTTAAACATTTTTGGAAACCGAGTTTAACCGTTTTTGTCTACTTCTACAATATATATAATGGAGACTGATCATGCTCTAAGGTTGACCACCGGGTTGAACAGCCAGGTTGGAATTGGTCTTCAGCAACTCAAAGCTGTCGTAAGAAGCGATTAACGGGATTGAGCGGTGAGGCTCGCTGACTTAGTTGACACGTGTCATCGTATCCCAATTTCGGAGATCGATGCTCATGTTGTTTATACCTGGATTGTCTGGTCCAGATTCGATGATTTGCAGACCGCGGGCACACAGCTGGAATATTGATGACTGACTGAGTTTGGTTTTACGCCGCTTTTAGCAATATTCCAGCAACATCACGGCGGGGGACACCAGAAATGAGCTTCACACATTGTACCCATGTGGGGATTCGAACCCGGGTCTTCGGCGTGACGAGTAAACGCTTTAACAACTAGGCTACCCCGGAATATTGATGAGTGCGGCGTTGAACAACCCGATCCTGTTTGACACCTCATTGGTTGCTGTAAACCAACTTTAACCCGGATGCTTAATGATGTGTACCCTTTGTCAAGATGATTGTCAACGGTCCAAACTTTAATGCATCTCTTTTGGTATGGGTGAATGAAAATAGGTTTACGCCGCTCTTAGCAATATTGCTACGATATCACGGCGGGGGGACCCATAAATGGGCTTCACATATTGTATACATGTGGCGAATCGAACCCGGATCTTCGGCGTGACGAGCGAACGCTTTAACCACTAGGCTACCCCATCGCCCCTTGTGGTAGGGAGCTTGCCTGACTTTCTAAAACGAAAGAGTGCATCACATGCCATTGTGGATATTATGTATATATAATGTGCTGTGTTTGTGGTGAATTGGTTTGCGCATCCTTTTTCAGCATGCATCGGTGTCCAATGTCAGAATGCCGGTGAGTGTTCACAAGTTGCCCAGGGAAAGTTCCAGTGTTCCTGCTACTCACCAACAAGTGGAGACTCATGTGAGAGTAAGTTATACAAACTAGACTAAATCTGTAATCTCTTTCTGAGGTTTTTCATTCTTCAACGCTGCTTTAGGACGCATATATCTAGTTCGTATTCCTAAAGTATTATGACACCGCCTCCGTGGTGTAGTGGTTAGAGCGTCCGCCCGGAGAGTGGAAGGTCGCGGGTTCGATCCCCGACCGCATCATACCAAAAGATGTTAAAATATGGTACTTGTTGGTCCCTGTCTGGCGCTCGGCATTAATGGGTACAATAAGGACTGGTCGGCACGGTGTCAGTATAATGTGTCTGAGTGGGGTATTCATGCTTCACTGCGGCATGGTATCTCAGTTGGCTAGCACTATAAAACCAGCTTCAGTCTGCACAGCTGTTTATATCTGGCCCAGGCAGACTCTTTAGCCTGCCTTCTGCTGAGAGTGAGGGGAGTGATGAGTCATGGCTTGCGCATGCGTACTAACTGTTGCTAAGGCTCGAATCATCATTTAAAGATGGCGGCCACATTAGCAACCCATCCCACCTCAAGCTTAACTCGCACTATTTCTCCTCTCTAACATTGTTTGTGTTAACATAATTGGTGTTATCCTAACACTTAACTTTGTGGCAAACCATAAATGAAGATTAATGACTGTCTGTAGAAATCTTGACAAGGGAGGTTACAATAAACAAACCCAGTCTGGAATCCCGCAAAACTGAAAAATGTTCTTAATTAACGTGTCACAATTATCTTATCTGGGTTTTCTGGGGGGAAACTGTTTACATTATATGACAGCCCCAACTTTCCTCTGTCAGATGAAATTAACAGAGTTTATTCAAGCAGGGTCTGTTTCACATGAATCTGTTGCAAACATAAGTTTCATTCATACAGTGTATCAGAGAGTGTAAGGTTCTTGTTGATGATTCTAGTAGTATTGCCGTGAAAGTTTGAAGCTGTATTTTGTGTATTCTAAATGGAGCAAGTTTAAGTGTTATTTTCGTTGGAATTTGTACTCAAAATGGAGAGAGTATGTGAAGATCACTTTAAAAAACTGGAATTACTGTGCCGGATATGTGCTGGGAGACTTACACCATTTGGTAAAAGAGTACGTCTAAGCCATGTAAGAAGTTCACTGAGAGACTGTATCATGTCTATGGTATTGATGTGTTATCTGACAATAGTTTCCACCCACAGTGTTTCTGTGCGACCTGTTACAACAGGACATTCACTCACAAACAAAGGAAAATGCAGGATACTATCAAAGGAGATAAATTTGAAAATGTTTGGGAGGTTAAGCAATGTGACAATGACTGTTGGGTATGTGTACAATTTAAAACCCAAAGTAAAGGGGAAGGCCAAAAAATACAGACAGAAAAGGGCAAATGATGATGAAACATCGATTCTAGGATTAGAAATCATGGAACACGGTGCATGTGAGGGTTCAAGTTCAGTGGCGACACAGCATGCTACACCACCCCGTCCCATGAAGGAATTTAAAGAGGCTCAAACGTCACCATTCCAGTTTCAGGACAATCCACGTGAACAGTCCTTAAGTGAATGTTTAAATAAACCAGTTATGCAACCACTTTCGAAATTTGAAGAAAAATTACAAACCCATTTAGTTCGGAGAAAGCTAAATACAAGCAGTAATCAGAGAACTCTAGAATGTAAAACAAAAAGGACAGCCCTTGTGTTTTCAGCGTGTAAAGAAAGCACGGAAATTGTCTTCAGAGGCCAAAAGCCCTTTGAAAAGAAGGCGCTCTCAGGAACTTTCAAAATTAAGATTAATTTTAACTGGTGAAAAAGACCACACAAGCCAGTTTTCATCCGAGTTGAAAAGCGTTCCCATGAAAAAACGTGAAACTATTTGCCAAAAAGCAGGCATTAGAAGAAAACTGAGAGCTTCCTCCAGATATGGGCTTGCAATCAAGGCTTACTTGGGACTTTCCTGGACGCAATATCGAAAACAAAAGAAACTAATGTCAAAACTTGGAGTGAAATTTGAAAACGAAACATTTGAGAGAAAAGAACAGTCTCAAATTTTAAGTTCCCACATTGACTCCAAAATGATTGAAATGGAAACAACCAATGAGAATGGTTAACGGGTAAAATCAGATGTCCCGATGGCATATGTGAAAGATCTGCCGACATTCGTTACAGAACTTCTCAATAATTACCTTGAATCTGGTCAACTAACATGGCACTGCAAACATATTCCAGAGGATGAAATTTGGTTGAAAATTGGTGGCGACCACGGCGGTGGTTCATTCAAACTCTGTTTACAAATAGCAAATCTTTCACGACCAAATTCAAAACACAATACTGTCATTTTCAAAATGTTTGAGGCAAAGGACACCAGAAAAAATCTAGAAATAGCACTTTTAACATACTGTGGGCAAATCAAACAACTTAAAGGACAGACTTGGCATGGAAAACGCATTAAAGTCTTTCTCTTTGGTGATTATGATTTCTTATCCAAGGTCTACGGCATTTCTGGTGCAGCTGCCAAATTTCCATGCCTGTGGTGTCATGCTTCAAAATTACAGATACAGAAGGACCCCGAAAATCGGGAATATGTGGAAGGTAGAACACTTAAACGCTGAAAAGAGATCACAAACAGTTTGTAGAAAAGGGACAGGGTAGAATTGGAAATGCCGGGACATACCACAATGCTATCCACCAGCCTCTATTCCCAGTGCATGTCAACAGAGTATGCCCACCATATTTGCATATTTTACTGGGAGTAGTTAAATAACATCATGTAATGCTGGAACGGGAATGTCATGAGCTCGATATGCTCATCGGAGCACATGCTCTCATGACTGATGAAGAAAGTCCAGATACTGAATTTGGAAAGTATGTTTAGAGAAGTCGGGAAATACAAAAACTAGAAAAGAAGGAGACAAAATTTACTAACGTTTTAGAAGAAATCGAAGACAATACACCTCTCGCCCATTTGGAACAACGGGAAAAGAATTTAGAAGACACATTAAAGAAACTAAGGAAAGAAATATCAAGAAAGACTCAAGAAAACAAACTTAAGGAAAGAAAAGGCCCAGTTACAGCAAATTTGGACAAAGTGTTGAAATCGCACAAAATTGTACCCCAGGCCTTTCATGCACGGTCCTTTGTGGGGAATCACTGTAAGAAATATCTCGAGCCACAGGTGTATGAAGACCTTTGCAGGAGCATTACAACCGTCACCTGCAAAATGACAAAGCATGACGGAACACTATTACGGGCATTCTGTATCAGGGAGGTGTATGAGGAACTAAACCGGAAATTTTCTGCTGTTCATCAACTTATCAGTCATGACAAGCCAATCGGTTGTGAAGAGCCAACAATCCAAAAGAAGATAAAAGAGTACATGTCCTTTTATCGCCGCAAATTCCCATCCAGTAGCGTTACTCCCAAAATGCATTTTTTAGAGGATCATGTGTGTGACTGGATCAACATCTGGGGTTTTGGATTAGGTTTGCATGGGGAGCAGGGAGGTGAACAAGTCCACGCTACCATCAACCTGTTAAAACGGCGTGTATGGGGGGTGAAATCTGACAAGATGAAATATGAAATTATGCTGAGGGAACATCACATGCAGGTATCACCATGTGTCCAGGCCGTACTTCCAGTCCCGACCAAAAGAGTGAAAAAATCATAAGGACTCTTCTCATTGTTATATTGATACACATGGATATGTGCCATCAATAATACATTGTACCGGATATCCAAATAAATGACATAATCGTTTATACCAGGTAAACGGTGAATTGTGGATAACCTGTATACCCTGACAATGACAAAATACATGTACATGTATATATAATCTGTCATTAAGAATGTGGATACCCTGCTGTTACGGCGACCTAGCCCCTCACAGTATACTGGTGTACTGCTGACATAGTTCCCGTACCATAACATAAAAATAGCAGACAGAAACGTAGCTTTAGGCAAACCAAACTTCCACACTAGTGTCCAAAATGACGTTTTCACAAACTAATATCCATTGTACTAGGAGTCAAATATGAACAAACACAGGTTGGGTGAGAATGACAATATATTGTTATCTTCAATCATAGCAAGTACAAGGCGCAATGGTCACTGCCATACAATTACACAATAGTGGAACGGGGTGGATCAAACACAAAAATATATGATGGACTAGGGAAGCACGGACTGGGGATAAGTCAAGGAACTAGATATACTTCTACATAAGGCTTAAAAGAAGGAATAGACGTAGACCTACTCTTTGGAAGTCTAGCTAATATAAATCCTGACAGTTGGCTTATTCAAAGCAACCCCATAGAGCACATGAAGGAGGTGTACCATAGTTACCCAGGTCCGGCTTCCCGAGGTCCTCCCCAACGTTCCTTAGAGCAGTGGCGATGTTCGGCACTGATGGGCTTGACCATGGTCTAGATAAGGGGAATGGGCGGACGTCGGAGGAAGCAATTAGCAGGACACCCTCTCAGACCCGCCAGTCCCAAGGAATTGTGCTTTTGCAATTTCGTAAACATACTACATTACTAACTAAAGTGATGGTAAAGTTATAAATCCATACATGGATGGAAAGCTGAGAAACTTCCCTATCAGACTGCCTGGGTATTAGAATCATAATACGAACTTAGTATGAGATATAGGGATTTAACTGATGAAATTGAGCTACAGGGAGTACGTTGGTATACTTTGTAGTGAAGGTATGTTTTCAAGATTATATATACAACAAAACAGATTACTCACTAAGAAAGGTGAGAACATGATCTTTCAGATGATACCTAATGTTAATGATAAACGTTTTGCAGACATGAACAATTAAGTAAAAAGGGCGCGTACATAAAAAACACATAACACTCGTTACTCTCACTGGAGTCCATATTCCCGCAGGAATGGCATGTTACCGTTACACGACCCCACCAAAAAACAAAGAAATTTGCAATACAATGCATTGAAAATTTTTGAGACAATCACAAGTTTTTTAACAAAATTACTGCAACAAGGCATTGGCATACGGTTTCCGAATGTCCTTTTATA